TCTCTCTCTCTCTACTCTCTCTCTCTCTCTCTCTCTCTCTCTCTCTCTCTCTCTCTCTCTCTCTCTCTCTCTCTCTCTCTCTCTCTCTCTCTCTATCTCTCTGTGTCACACGCGCCCCTATCTCTTTCTCTCTTGTCCTCGCATCTTCCTTCCCTTCCCTATCCGCCCACTACCCTTAGTACCATAGGCATCCCCTGTGCCTTTTTTTCTCATCTAGTCCTTACCCCGTCCGTTCGCGTTAGCACACATGATCAATAAGGTGTGCAGTGGCCATTTATCCATTGGTCACTAAAGAATCATTTTAGTGGCTTAAGTTTCGGCTCGAACGTTAACCCCCTCCACTTTAACCCCGTGGTAACACATCTGCACCTATGCTTGCGTACTATAGCTGATCAGCATCACACAGTACAGTAATACATCCACATAATAATATGACGTAAGAACGTCAGACAGTTCCAACCATGTGTCCATACTATCATGTACAGAACAAAATTAATTGCACTAATTACTGCACACTCTACTCACATCTTAACAAAACCTACATCCTTACCTTACCTATATACACACCGAGTCGACACCTGCTTACAATAATACATATAAGAACTAACTATTGCAACCATCCATTTTAATATCCGAACTAAATATTATCAAAACTAGTGGTGTGGTTAACCACGGTTAACCGAAAACCGCGGTTTTTGCGCCACCATTCGGATATTCGAACCGTCGTTCCGTTTTCGGCTCGGTTTCGGTTCCACATTTTATATATACCCGATATATACGCTTTTGAGATACGCGCACTGCGATTGGCTGGTGACTGGTCGTAAACTCTCGGCCAATCAGCGAGCAGATAACATTGATAGACCACTTGCTACATGCCACGAGAAGATCAACGCGTTCATTTTGTCTGCAAAAATGACAACTTATGTTGATCCGCCGGCCTCCTACAGATCTATGGTATGGAAGCATTTCGCATTTCCAACAATCGGAGGAATATTTGAATTTCCTGTACAAAGGTTTTGTTGAATTTGCCTTAACATTTGGGTATTGTATATTAAAGGTTTGTTGTTCAAAGAATTTTAGTGACATTATTATTTAATATTTATAAACCAGTCTGATTTTTAAATTTGCACTTCTGTTTTGTGTTATAAGATTTGTAATTGATCGCAAATATTCGAACCGAAAATAACCGAACCGAAATGTGAAAACCGAAAAACCGAACCGAACCGTGAAGTTGTGATTCGTTGCACCCCTAATCAAAACTACTATATATATTACTGTTATTGTATTAACCTCAGAGACCAAATCTTGCATCGTAGCAACGAAAACCACACCCGTAGTGGAAACTCTACTGTACATTGCTATTCCTCCCTAGGAAAACCTCACCCTCACTAATTACTGCACAGTATATATATAGTAAGCAGGCCGAAGGAAGAAGGAAGCCATCCTGGTATTGGCGTGCAGCTGACCATCACATTCCACCGACTTACTGTATGTACACCGTCGTGTCGAAACTAGCCAGTGTTACCCGAAGTCACAGCGCCAGCCCCACCTGCATTAAACCTGCCTACGTGTGAGCAAAACTGCACCCGTGTGTGCCGGTAGACATAACAACATACACTAACCGAAACGAGACTGCATCTGCTGTACAAAATGCGCCCATCTACAAAATTACCTGAACGAAATGACGGCTAACACTCCATTAGGAGTGTTCCCAACTTTGATATCATTAATGATTAATGATTGATAATCCTAACCCTAACCCTAACCCTAACCTAAATGACATTAAACCACAAACTAATATATGAGTCATAATAACATGACCATATATATATATGTTATTATGACCATTAATGACATTAAAGTTGGGAACACTCCTAATGGAGTATCACCCGAAATGACTTCGCCGGTTACCTGCCACCCACTGCTCTATGCCACACCAAAGAACTAACTCGCGTACCCATGGAAGAATTTTAAATTTGCAAAAAATCCAAGTTCTTCTGTAACATATAATGAAGCACCGCCAACCTGCCAAAACTTTCCATGATATAGTGCTTATTGTACAGAAGCAGCCTGCTACCAGCAATCTATTCTGATCATGGTTCTAAGACTGTCAATCCAGAATGCAACTGCAATCAATTCGTAGTAATGAATTGCACGGGGATTAATTCACCTGATATTTGATTATGTAGCGATAAATTCATTGATAAAAAAACCGTCGAGGGACGAATCCCCATTGTCCACAGAAAACACCTAATGGGAACAAATTGTCATGGTATGAAATCCTCCGATAAAGAACAGTATGGGGTCAAATGAAGAAAACCTACAAACATGGAGCAGAGATGCATACAGTAACGCCCCCCATGTGTCTTAGTATGCATCAGTGGGAAGCCAGTGACGTTATTTCACATGAGCCCATCCTTAATGAAATCAAGAGCTCATAATAGAGAAGAGTATGACACCGTTTTAACAGCGTTTTGCACAGTTTTCAACTTGTAAATATTCTATCAATATGTGAATAAATATATTCAAACTTTACCTTGTTTTCGTCTATGATTCTCCCTTAATCATATGACACCACCAATTTACCTGAAAATCGTATGTGTTCTTCAAAAAAGTTCTTTGAATACGACACGGTTTCACACAGTTTTCCCAAAGGTTCGCATGTATTCGGCGCATGTTGATATGCAGCAGCAGCACCATGTTGTAACTACGGGACGCTGGGGGCTGTTGGGGATATTAGGTAAGCACAGTAACAGCACTTGTTTCGCTTCCTTATCATCAGGAACACGATGGCAACAAGGCTAAAATCAGCTGCTAGCTCGCCGTGAGCACACATTTATTTCTAACATGCTGGAAATGCTACACGCTGAATACAATTCGATGCTTAATTTCCCCACCAGCCCCCAGCGTTCCGTCATAGACAACAGAACACTAATCCGAAAATAAACTTGTGCCGAATACATGCGAACATTTGGAAAAACTGTGTGAAACCGTGTCGTATTCAAAGAACTTTTTTGAAGAACACATACGATTTTCAGGTAAATTGGTGGTGTCTTATGATTAAAGGAGAATCATAGACGAAAACAATGCAAAGTTTGAATATATTTATTCACATATTGATAGAATATTTACAAGTTGAAAACTATGCAAAACGCTGTTAAAACGCTCATACTCTTCTCTATTATGAGCTCTTGATGAAATGCATATATAGCAAATACCACCCCGAGAGTTCCCTATTGTCCTATTGATTAAAGCTGCCGCAACCCTTACTCGTGCAAATCCAATTCGGCAGCCATTATATATACAGTCCGACCTCCTTTATCCGGCCACGTCGGGACCGGTACTTATCCGGATATATGGGATTTGGCCGAATATGAGAGTTATGCTCAAACACAGCATTTCTATGCAGTTCAGTAGAGTTTATGCATGTGATAATGTATTTACCCGTTGCTATGATTATTTGTAACAAACTGTCGTGTTTTATGGTTTATATGAAATGGAAATAAAATTAAATGAAACAGAAATTTTACCGGAGGCATAGCGAACACGAGCGGACAACACACACACACACGCAAACACACGTACGGTTGGTACATCGCGCGAGTTTTGAGCGAGATTTTTAGGTGGAAATGAATGAAAAACAGAGAACATACACTGCGAGATCGCGGCCGGTTAATAGAGATTTCCGGATAACGGATGGCCGGATAAAGGAGGTCGGACTGTATATATATATACATCTTAGACTCCCGATCACACTATATGACACAAAAGAGCGTCCCATCGCTACATATACCTGACTAGCTAAGCCTGCTTCTTTACGCCAACACTAACAACACATTCCGACTAAACTTGTCATTCACATCACATGGAAGAGCAAACTTCAATGTACACTCATAAATCTACATAGGGGTAGTCAGTAGTCACTGCACTACACACAGACAAACACACACACGGCTCGTGCACCAGGCCCATCGTGTATGTGCATACGTATTTTTGTTACTCTCTGATACGCCCCCGCAGGGCAGGTCAGTGTTTACATATATCTGGGCAGACAACGCTGGATCACAAGCGCCACACATGCCCTGCAACTGCATGAGACCTGCTCAAGGTACTGTATGTGACACCACTACAGCTGTCGCTATCCTACCACCTATCTCCGATACAAACACAGCGGCGGAGAGAAATCCGCTTAGAAACTCTCGATACATACCTCGTTGGAAGGATCGTGATAAGGAATTCTGAGTGTTTCCATTGCACGTATCATAGACTGCATGGCCATGAAGATGTTTTGGTAGACGAGTCGCGTAAAGCCGCGCTTGTCCTCATCTGAGTAGCCCGAGCCGTGGATAATTCGCATCTGTTTGATGAAAGTGCTCTTCCCACTTTCTCCCGTTCCTGTGCACAAGGAGAAATATTCAGCATATTTTATCGCACGTGAGAGGACGTACTTAGCAACAAGTCTTGCTTTCCCGCTCTGCAAACTGTTCAAAGTGACTAAAAATCAGTAACCACCACTAACAGAAGCATCTATCCAAGCAAAACACTGTGAACACTTATACACAACTTGATACCTTAAACACTGCAGACAATCACAGCAAGTAAGTTTGACATATATTATACAAGCCTGTTCTAACCTAGTACTTCTGTGAATCTGACAGCAATAGTTCTATGGAATTCTAAAATTTAATATATAATAAAATGCTTTTTGTTAAGCCATCTGGCACTCGTACACCTGTATTCAAAGGAATGATCATTGATATCGTGAATATGAATGCCTTACAATCACTGCAGTCATTACTATGAATTTTTAATGGGAAATAATAAACCGTTCATTCATCTTTTTAGAAGCCTTTTTATCGCTTGCAGTATTAACCTCCACACGAAAATCACAAATGATCTTTCTTGCGATGCTGACAAATGCATATGATGCATTAAACTTACTCACATCTCATAATGTAAATGTACATATTTACTCACGTAAATAGTTAAATACGCATGATTAGATTTCACTTCCACAAGTTACTAACATAACCAATCTTGCAACTTTTCACAGTAGTCAAGTAAATCCTGGAAAGTTATGGTGTATTGATAGAGCACAATATCTAAACATAGCAGGAGTATACACAGATTTGCACAGGGATTAACCAAGCACATGTACAATCACACCTCTAGATAAAAATCCACTGGTCATACCTACAGATGCGCATTATGAGTATTATGTACTAATGTGCCCTAGAAACTCATACTAATATCTGTCCACCTTTGACCAGATCAATCATATAGGACAGATGTAATGCTATCACACCACATCACTCTTTCAAATGACCCATTTCTGTCTTTATTTCCTTAGCGCAGTATAGTGGAGTGCATAATTACCATCTATTAATGTCACACACTCGATTAGACATGTGCAAATACAATCAATATGCAAAATAGTCCATGTAACACCATAGGTTATGTCTTACTTTTGCCATGCATAAAGTGTTATAATCTAGAACGTGGATATTCGTCCGAGCATCGGACACCTGTTCGTATGCGCTATTCGTCCGAGCAGTTGTTGCGCATGCGCTGTTCATGTTGTATTACATAAATATAATATAATGCTAGTCTAGGCAGTCGCCTACTCCCCTAGCCCCAACCCCCACCCCAACCCCATCGTATAATCTATATATATATCAGTGTGAAAATGTAATTTACTTGAATTAATTATGAAATATTATGTCTCATTTATTCAATTGGATATTTACTGCAAACTTGCAGTACAGAAACAATTTTCCAAGTAAGGGCATTTAACTTTGCAATTTTAACCATTTGTGCTGTAGTGTGGTAGATCTCACGAGAGCAACATGGGTTATGGGTGTGACCACAAAACTATAACTCCATAATAGAAAGGGAAACGTTGAGAGAAAATACTGCAAAAACAACGAGGTATGACATCTAATCTAATTTCTACAAATCACGAGATTTTTAGACAGCATAATTGGTACAAGATGGAAGGCACGATGTAGACCGTGTATGTACTGTCTGTAGTGTATGAGTGAAGACAGGAGAATTTCTACATGTTAGTATTGTTACACTGAGATCATCACAGATTACAACGTGTACTTAGCATAAATTAACAAGGATTCTATGAGCCGTCAATAGCATCTGTATATTCTTCGCTCGACAAGGTGCAGCAGCTAGTCGGCTCTTGCAAGATGAAGTGAGCTTAGCGAGACAAAATTTTCCATTCCACTGCCACTGTCACGTAAACGTTGCACGAATTAACAGACATTGGATGCAGCCATAGCTTCCGAATTTGCTTTGAAATACATACCTAATAATAACAGTTTTAGTTCTCTTCTAGCATCTTTTTTGGCTTGTCGCAACTGTTTCTCTATTTCTTGATTTATTCGCTTTTGCTCCTTGGCCTCTTCTGATAGGCAGCACGCCATATTGGATGGCTGGTTGCCTTCGACAGGCTAAACAGTCCCAAGTACTGGCGGCTCTTTCGACCTGCTTCTCG